TCCCCAGCTGGGGTGGTGGGACAGGCCCTGGTGGGTCTCATAAATCCTGTGGGATGCTGGATTAGAAAGCTGCAGTGAATTAAGCGTGCGATGGCTCGGAGGAGAGACAGCCTCCGGATCGTGGCAGTTGGCTTCTGTCCTGGCTCTGCAGGGCATTCATTTCTGTTCAGGCTGTGGTACTGAGGAAGACACCTCGCAAGCTTTCACAGCTCGTCACCACCATGTCTTCTTTATTTTTCTGGACACCCTGCCTGAGACCTGGGGCCTGAATTGCTAATTCCTGAGCTCTTGGAGCTGCAGCTGAAGGCACCAGGGGTTGCGCTTGGATATACAAAGTTTTGCGTAACACCAGGTACTCTGACAGCCAGGTCCCAGGCATCCCAGATGGCCTCCTGGCAGGTCCAGGAAGGTTCTTGTTTCTGAGTGAGAGAAATCTTTTGTTTTGTTTAAATTCTTCTGGTACTGCATTAAGCCATTTGCAATGCTCAGCGTTAGTAAAGCAATTGCATGCTCTAGGGGTGGATACTACAAAAAAAGTCTGGAATTACATACAATTAGGCAGGCCAGAGACCACATCCTGGAGGGAATTTTAGATAGGACTGTGCCACAGACCCTGTATACAAAGGGGGTCAATTTGTCTTGTACAATGTCCTAATGCTGGGATTTCCTAGTTTATGAATGTTCAGTTTTGCAATCTTAGTATTTTCACAGAATTTTTGTGTATAATTTGCTTCTTGTACTGTTTGTCCCCCTTGCATTCAGGAACAGGAACTTTTTTTTAATGTATTATGAGGAGTTGACAAGAGGGTCCTTGAAAACATGTGAGAGAGAGGTTTTCAGTGTCTGTGCCTTGGTAGTATCATGTTTAAGATCAACTTTGAGAAATACCCAAAAAAGTATTTTAGCAAAGACCCTGTAACCTGGGCTGGAGCGTGCTCTGTGAGGCAGTCTCATCAGCAGTTAAAGCTGAGCTCTGAGGCGTTCAAGACAGGCTCACAGAGGTCTGCATCTTTAACGATTTAACTGTAAGAAGCCTTTAAAGGATGTGCAGAAATGGCTATTTTAAAAGCTTAGTATATTAGCCAAATTTTGGGTACAATTTTATGAGGACTCCTAAAGTCAAATTCTTAAGCTGCAGGCAACTTGATGTCAAATCTGAAGTCATTGACACACAGCACAAGGATGTTTGAAATTTCCAAGGAAAGGTCACAGCAATACATTCTCTTTTAGTCTCATTCAAGGATGTCCAGCACAGAAGGTTTGTGCTGAAAAAATAATTTTTAAAAAATTACAAGTAACTAAAATTAATATCTCGTAATGGGGAGGACTTGGTTGTCAGTCCTGCTTCTAACTCCTTTATAGCATTTATAGTTAAATCTTGTAACAAATAGGAAAAAAATAGGGAAAAAGATCAAACAAATAGAACTTGGGAATGGGGCAAGAACAGAGTATCTTTGGACTTGTTTGCAATATAGTAGAAGATTTCATATTCGAGTAAGAGAGTATTTTATTATCTTTTCTTTCTGTTGCAAATATATTTGTAATAAATTTTCAAAACATTACAGGCTCTTCAGCTTTTCAAGTCCAAAACTGTAAGCAATTACACTTTTAGGTGCCTATCTGTTAGAAACCTTTGAGCTTCTATGGCCATTAGCAGTGATGGAGATTATGCCTGTGCCAAGAATGTTTAGGTGCCTTCCAGTTAATTTTTAACCATTTGTGGTGGTTTGACCCTGGCTGGATGCCAAGTGCCCACCAAAGCCGCTCTATCACTCCCCTTCTCAACTGGACAAGGGAGAGAAAGTATAATGAAAAAGCTCATGGGTCGAGATAAGGACAGGGACATCACTCAGCAATTACCAGCGTGGGCAAAACAGACTGGACTTGGGGAAAATCAGTTTAATTTATTACCAATCAAAACTGAGTAGGAGAGAGGAGTGAGAACATGTGTAGGGTAATGAGAAATAAAACCAAATCTTAAAACACCTTCCTCCCACCCCTCCCTTCTTCCTGGGCTCAACTTCACTCCCGATTTTCTCTACCTCCTCCCCCCGAGCACCGCAGGGGGATGAGGGAATGGGGGTTGTGGTCAGTTCATCATGCGCTGTCTCTGCTGCTTCTTCCTTCACAGGGAAGGACTCCTCACACTCTCCCCCTGCTCCAGCGTGGGGTCCCACCCACGGGAGACAGTCCTCCACAAACTTCTCCAGTGTGGGTCCTTCCCACAGGCTACAGTTCTTCATGAACTGCTCCAGCGTGGGTCTCTTCCACGAGGTGCAGTCCTTCAGGAGCAGACTGCTCCAGCGTGGGTCCCCCATGGGGTCGCAAGTCCTGCCAGCAAACCTGCTCCAGCGTGGGCTCCTCTCTCTCCACGGGTCCACAGGTCCTGCCAGGAGCCTGCTCCAGCATGGGCTTCCCATGGGGTCACAGTCTCCTTTGGGCACATCCCCCTGCTCCGGCATGGGGTCCTTCCCGGGCTGCAGGTGGATATCTGCTCCACCGTGGGCCTCCATGGGCTGCAGGGGCACAGCCTGCCTCACCATGGTTTTCACCATGGGCTGCAGGGGAATCTCTGCTCCCATGCTTGGAGCACCTCCTCCCCTCCTTCTTCACTGACCTTGGTGTCTGCAGAGTCCTTCCTTGCACATAGTCTCACTCCTCACTCCAGCTGCAGTTTGTGTCCCCATAGTTTGGGGTTTTTTTCCCGCTTCTTAAATATGTTATCCCAGAGGCACTACCACTGTCACTGATGGGCTTGGCCTTGGCCAGCAGTGGGTCTGTCTTGGAGCCGGCTGGCATTGGCCCTATCAGACATAGGGGAAGCTTCTAGCAGCTTCTCACAGAAGCCACCCCTGTAGCCGAGGATATAGTAGAGTATATATATCTAAATTAGCAAGAATTCACCATTTTGATATTACTCAAATGTAAAATTAGGATGGTTCATATTTTATGTTTGCCAAAAATATTAAAAGATAACTTTAAGTCCAGTAACTTTCTATGTAGTGATACAATTCTTGGGATGCCTGATGTCAACATCTCAGTCTAACCTCTGTTTGCTCTTTCTAGGTTTGCAGCCATACACTAATTACAGCTTCATGCTTACTGCATGCACATCTGCTGGCTGTGCTTCTAGCCAACCATTTTCAGGTCAAACTTTACAAGCTGCTCCTCATGGTAAGGGAAAAAGTCATTCTTATAGAACTGCAAAGAGATGGTCATATGGGCTTGTATTTTCTGATGGTTTAACAAGGTGCAAAACTCTACTGTCATCCATCAAGATATCATGTATAAATTTACACAGGATAATCCATCTCTCGGAATATTTGTATCTTAGCACATTCCTTATACTGACTGCCTGGCACTGCATTTCTATTTTCTTTTTGTGACAATTGCCCAAATTTCATCCTTAGGTTAGCAAGGTTACAATTAGCAGATGCATATTTTTTAAAGCACAAATAAATATGCAGAGACAACTGGGCATACAAAGGCTGCAGCCTTTGGCCTTGTTCTCCATTAATCTGTACCTTGTCTAGTTGGTTGCATTTGATATAGGATAAATACAGAAAGTGTGTTAAATTCTGTCATTCTCTCTAGCAATGTTTTATGCTTTCATTACATTGCTGAAAGCAACAGCACAAACTGTGGGAAAGGAAAAAAAAAAACACGTTATATTTCTGTCATAAAATTGAAATAGTGTCATTGTGATGTTAATAGGGGTATGGCCAAAACCTCATCATATCATAGTCAGCTCAACAGAAGTGGAAATCTACTGGAGTGAACCAAAGAAACCCAATGGACTCATTACTCAGTATCGATTATTTCGTGATGGAGAACAGATTTTCCTGGGTGGCAGTCCGGACCTGAATTTCACAGATGTTAACCTGCAGCCTAACAGTAGGTAAGGCATGTTAAAGAGCTCTGGTAATATGTGAAAAGTGTTCAAAATATATGTACGTGTGTTTGCAAAATGTACAAAATATAATTTACTCTTTTAACAAAACAAAAATCTCTTACGATATTACTTAATCACTGAAAAATTGGTAGAGCACTTTTAGGAGGCTTCCAAATATTGGAAAGCCTTAATCAAAGGACTTCTCTTTTTTTCCTTTTCTGAGAATAGGCCATCCTGATTCAAAGTGGGGGGAGGTTTCTTTTTTTCCCCCTTGGGTGGTTGTTGGTGGCTCATTGGTTGGTTTTTTCCCTCATGGAATATCCTTAGAAAAATTTAAGTCTATATGGCAGACAGCACTGCATATGGTTTATAACATTTCTGTGCATATTGAAAATACTGGCTCAAAAGTAGCAGCTGCTGGATATTTTTATAGAGGCCATTCTGAAATTGGTTTTGACACTTTTTGAGTCAATACGTCTCTCTCTTATGTAAGCTAATGGGAAATTTAGTATTAAAATTATTATTATGATAAGGAAAGAGTTACTTTTCTCACATTAAGAAAACTTAAAGGTGAAAATCTTCACTAATGCAGTATTTGTAATACTTTTTGTATAGTCTATTCACTTTAAGTTGGTGAAAATGGAAATGTTCTGTTACTGATATGCCTAAAGCTTCTAACTGTAGTGCCTACTGATCTTTTTGTGTTTGCGCAGATATGTTTACCAGCTGGAAGCCAGCACTTGGGGCGGCAGCAACACTAGTGATAAATATGTTATACAAACACCAGTAGGAACACCAGAGAAAATTCATGTCCCATATAATGTCACAGTAATTGATGCATATTCTGTATTTCTAGCTTGGGATGTGCCAGGTAAAAATGTATTTCTATGTAGTACTTTGTAGCAAAATGAAAGGATGGAAAAATTAGTATATTCAGGCAGGCAGCTGAATCATTCTGATATTTTTATTCTTCATATTTGGTTTTAGTGTTTGTGTGATTTAAATAACCAGTATCTAAAGCTGCTGTTTCCTAGAGATGTATTATTTTAATAATATTGACCTATATACTTGACACGGGTATTGTGGGGATTAGCTGATCAAAAATCCATATGTTAATTTGATCTTGTAAACTATTATTGAGTGCAAGTATTAAAGAAAAATAATAAAAAAAAACAATTACACTGAGAATAAGTTTTCCTTTCTGTTCAGACTAACCTGAGTTATCAACAGGGAAACCTGCCAACCTTTTGGGTTGATGATGTCTTGATTGCTATCCTGGCAATTAAAATATCCAGTTGTCCTGCAGATATGCAATGTTGAGCTTCTTTAACAAAAGGTATAAGAGTGTGACACAGAGATTCTACGCTAGCTTTGACCTGATTGAGTAAACTTTATTCGCCAGAGCACCATAGCTTTATGTAGACATGTTACCTTGCAGGAGGGTGGGTCAGCAAAGGGCCAGAAATATTTTTCTTCTTGTTACTCTTCTCCTGAACATCACCAGGTTGTCTTGGCCTGCTACAGAGGTAGGCTAAGAAGGTATAATTGAATAATAGCATCTTTCTATATGAGAGACTATTCTCTGTTTCATTAACACAGATCACAGCTTAAGTGATTTGTTTACCTTACTGGTGTTATAAAAATGGTATGCTGTAGTTATTGTGGGACAATGAGAGTGTTGTAAATGAACAATTTTCTGTCTAGTGTAGTTAATATTCAGCAAGAATTTTTCCAGTTTCTAGATATTGGGTTTTTTCAGTTTAAATGAGGTCAGTTTTTTTAGAAACTTAGATGTTTGCATATTGCAATAACAACAGTATGTGTTTTATCAATGAACTCAGGGAAGTTTTTGATGTCTCCTCTTCCTAATTATTTAAGATGTTTCCTTGCACAGCAGTCACAGTAGAGTCAATTGGCATTAAAAATAAAGTCACCTAGAAAAAGTATTTTGCCTTCAAGGCTGGGATAGTATGTATTGTGGCAGTGCTTAGCAGCGTTCACCCTACCCATTTAAGCAATGATTAATAAATCTATAATACCCTGAGCTGTCAATCTTTTAGTTTTCAGAAGCACAAAATCCATTATAGAAATGCTATAATATATGAAAAAGATTAAAATCTTAAATTGAACTTTTCCCCCTACTGCCTGAAAGGATTTAGAACCCAGCAGAAGGAAGGTGAATTCGAATGGCATATAATCTACAGTTGGTTTTATTGGAAAGTGACTCATGTTGTATTATAGTTTTGATAATAAATATAATTTAGGGTACAAAATATTCAGCAACATTATAAATAGATTTAAAACATAAGAATATACTGGAATAGTGTAGGCTTGTGAAGAGTGGGGTGTTTCCCAGAAAAGCTTGTCCTTGTTGTGCTAGACATTTTCTTTTCCTGTTACTCGCAGTAGGTTACAAGCCTGCAAGGAGAATCAGGCTCTATGTAGTACATTTGGTTATGCTGCAATTAAGATTGTGTGTACAAAGGTTCACGTATTCCACACGATCAAGAGGGGTGAGGAGGAAGCTGGACATTATGGCTCTGTAGAGGATGCAGGGTTGATGTATTCACATGGCTGTAGGAATCATTCTCCTCAGTCAGGGGAAGGCACATGTCTTTCTTCCCAGGTACTGGGACGCGCCTTGAACACTTACCTCGCTTTTGTGGATATTTGGTGACTCAGTCCCTTCTTCTCTGCCTTCTCATTGTAGGGCCAATTATTTACATTTTTAAGTATGAATAAGGGATTGTTTTTCATACAGTGCCCCTGTTGGGTAGACAGGAAAACAAAACTTGCTGTTCCTTTTATTATAACAGCTCAGGGCCACCAGCTGATCTTACAGGAGTGGGGAGTACTAACAGCAGAGAAATGCTACTAAATGCTACTAAAAGAAAACCTGTGTGCAGAAGCATAGGTATATGCAGAAGCTAGGAAATTAATTCTTGACCCTTCATAATCCTGCTTCATGCTCATTCTGAGACCTTTGTGCTCCTAGTGGGTTTTTTTTTTCCCAAGAGGAAGACTGTGGGGGATGCTGGTGGAGGTTTATTTTGGAGGTTCTGATTTTCTGGAATGGCATACATCCTATTAACAGGTCCTGTGCATGCAGACGTCTGGGGCCACATACATCCCCAGCTTGGTAGGATTAGCCTAAAGAGTCTACAGTTTTTATCCTCATTTACGTCATTGTGCATGGAGGAACTTCTTTTTTTTTTCTGATCTATTTTTTTCTGTGTATGAACCCTTGTTTCACAATTGGCTATACTGAGACAATACAGGTTTCCTTTATAAGCCCAGAATGCAGAGTTTGTTATAAGGATTGTCAGGCTTGGCAGTCACTCTTGAACGAGACAGTTGTTTTAATTGGTATAGTCTCCATGAAAAAAAGTGCTTTTTACTAGACAGGTTTTGATGAGAGGGTAGTCGGTCATAGTGTCTTCCTGTCTGTGGATATCAGGGATGCCTTGGCATTCTATCTTCTTATCTCCTGTAATAAATTAGGATCAAATAGTCACCTTCAGGATTAAGTTTGGGCATCACATTACACAGACCTTCCTTTTGGGTGGCTTTAATTATAATGTTTCAACATCTGTAATGTATCTAAATCTTATGACTTTATAGATATGTAGCATTTCAAAACTCCTGACTTAGCTAAAAAGCAAGGTGGCTGAGTAGTGGTTAAAGTGATGGATTCAGAAAAAATATTTGACACACCTCACTCACTATGGAAAATAGGACTTTATTTTCTGAAATAGGTATGCCATTATCTTGTGTTGCATTGCCTCAGTGCACAGACCTCAAAGGTACGGTACATTTCACTGATATGCTGCAGAAGGATATGTTACAATTATTATGGAACAACTATTAGAGACATGGATAGAAACAGAAAACCTGAATGGAAAAAAAAAAAAAACCAAAAAAACCCCCCACCACATAATTCTCCCAAGGCATATGCATAAATGTTATTGATAGGTAGGCAGGTAGCCATCCTGCATTTCAACTCATTGACAACCCTACTGGTCCTCACTGTGGGCCTGATTCTTCTAGATATCTTCAGTTGCTGCTGGTGACACCATGAAAGCTGAACATGCTCAAAAGAGGATCCTGTCCTCATTCCTAGGTTACTTGCTTCATATGTTAATGACCATCTGGATTAAAATATCTTCTTTCACCGTGTTGTAACACTATACTTCATCCACCGCTGGGTTTGCTTATCAGTTAGAATGGAAGTTGCCTAACATGTCTGGATTCCTACTTTATTCTTTTTGGGATCAAATCTGGTATTTGAATGATGTTTATTTGTCTCTTAGCTTTGTCTCTGAGCTTCCCCAGCTAACCTGGTTTCTCCTTTATTGGTGGCCTAACGAATTGTTCTGACTTTTGCTAAGCCAATGTTACATTTCCTCATTTTTGTTTTCTCATGTAAATTATTGTTTGCTCCACGTCACTGTAGGACAAGCTTTTGAAGCTCAATGTCCAAATTTCTGCATCATGAAAGCAGTCAGCATCTCCAGCTGTTACTGTCTTCAGAGTCTTGCTGGGAATACTTGATAAAACCAGAATGAGATATCTGGATATTTGAGGCTTAATGTAAATACTTAATCTCAGGAAGCCAAATAGATTGTTTTCTTTTGTGGCGTTAAATATTAAAACATAACTTTACTCTTACTTGTTTTTAAATAAAAGATATGACATTTTTATTCTAGTATTTGCTTACTATAAGTGAAACAGTTCAACTATTTTGCTTTAGTTGTGATTGGGTTTCACATCATATTAAACAATTTTTCAGCAATTGACTTCAAACAGATTTTTGGTGACCAGTCTGTAAAACAGACTGGCTTTTTTCCCCCCAATTCTAAGCATCTTTTGCTGCAAATTCTATTTTTGAACTACCCTAGTTTTGAAGTACACAGAGCCATCAAACCTAATTTGCAGAGTTTTGCACAGAATTGTCCATTAAATGTTATCTAAATATGCCCACAAAAAAACAAGGTTTAGTTTGACTGACTTGTCCCATTGCACCTGCTGTGAAATGAAGTTGCAGAGAAAAAAAGTGGAATAATTTAACTTTTTTATTTGTAAAGATAATCAGGGTTTTTCTGATTACATCTATAACTTCATAAATGTTAAATAACCTATCAGCATCTAGTTGTTGTAAATTATGAAAAAGAATATTGCTGGGAATATTAACCAACTAAATCCTTGTTCTTTAGTGAACATGAAAATGTGTTATGGCAGGTTGTCATTGTGCTCATGGTAACTTTGACACCAAATAACAAAACTGCCATTTGCACTTAGGGTAAATTGGTTCACTTGTGCTTTTACGGTTCCTTTTATTCTGACATAAATTTATGAACTCTGGAACTAACCAAGTCGTGTGGTTTCCCAGCTGACTTTAACAAATATGCCCATTTCGTTTCTTTCAGTCATCAGAGCACACAAGGTAGTAGTTTCAGACTCGCTGCAGATGCTGAAGGCTATTCTGGAGGAAAGGGTTTTTTACAAGTTTCTGTGTTGTACGAGTATATATTTTTTATTTTTCAGATTATAAAGTGATCCTCTGATTTTAGCATTTGATGAATTTCATCAAATTGTGGGAGGATTTCCATTGGATATTGGAATTTTTCAGGATGTTTACTTGGTTTTATTTACAATTTCATGTTCACTTCTTGAGAATATTTTTTCTCCTGAGCATCTTTATTATTGGTATCATTCCTAATATATTGCAACATTTAGCAGAATTTTAAGATTTTGGGGTTGGTTTGTTTGGGTTTTCTTAGCATTTCTGCTGTGATATGGACTGAATGTTGGATATGGATTGGTCAATTATTTTGAAATAAGTGTCCTTTGCTGCATATTGATGGCTGGATTCAGCTGTCGTTGTTTGTATTTTATCTTCCTTGGGAAATCAAGCATTCTGAATAGTTCCAATTTCAAGCGTTTCTGGTGAATTTTTGCCTAGAAAAAATGCACTGACCAGATGCACAAAAGTGAATTATGTGTCACTTTCATAAGCTAGTGGGTTTTTCTGGCTGAAATATCTGGTCTGTTGTCAGGACTGGAGAAGAAGGGGGCCTTAACTGCAAGATTAAAAAAAGGTTTCTATTTGATGTGCTGTCTACCACTTCAAGCTCTTAATTTTGGATCCTCTGTTGTGTCCTTTACAGGCATTCCAATTATAGGGGGGGTAGTTTAGCTGTAATAATATATCTTTAATTTCTGGTATAATTATACAATGCACACTCAAGTGCACTCTTCCAGAGCATTTCATCTTCCATATATCACAGACAAAAAATAATTTTCTTTGTTGCAGAAGCCATCTACTTCAAGATTACCTCTTGGAGGTTTACTCAGTAACATCCTGCATGACTTTAAAAGTTGTATTTCTATTATTCCATTCTTAATGATTAGATCTTGGTGTTTTCCTTGAAACTTTTACACTGAAAAAGGACAATTTTACAGTGGGATTTTTGCACTTTCTGTCTCCTCCTCCGTTCACCACTTCCAATGACTAATATCAACATCTTTTTTCTTCCTGTAAGCTGGGCAGTTGAATAAGATGGAAGTCATGCCTCCACTTCAGGGCTATTTTTCAGCTTTTTAGTGTAATGGCATTTCCTTTGTCTAGCATCTAGTGAGGCAGCAGCATCTTATTTCTTTGGGATTTTTATCTCCTCTTTTTCTTCTTAGAGTTGGAAAAACTTGGTATTTCAAAGATTTTTCTGATCTTCCAACGTACATCAGTTGTTTATAGTACCACAATGAAACTTGAAATCTCTCTGATTTCTTGTAACCTTTTTTTTTCTTTTAGTTGATGATCATATTCACATACATATTTAGCTAAAAAAATCCATCTAAAAGATGCACAACAGTGGAAAAAAGTGCTCTTTGTAGCTTCAGGGTGATAGTATCAATGTAGATACTTTATCAGAAAAGGACCAAAACCACAATTAGGAGAAAGAATGGAGTTGTTTTCCAAAGTTATGAATTGAAAGATTCTCAAGATCTAGACAAGTCTCAGAACTGCTCATACACATCTGGTTCTTGGTGCAATCACAGACACATCTCTGTGACATGTAAAGTATGTGTGTTGAAAGAGAAATGTGCTCTTGCTAACCAGATACATCTTGACTCATTTCAGAAAGGTACCTTGTCTACTTTGTTCTTTCTTAAGACTGTGCCTTCTGTGATGGCAGAATGGAGGAAACACACTTACCAGACACTCTTTAGTTATTCTCTTGGTTTTATGAAATTGCTGCTGTCTACATAGAACAGTCTGTAGTGGACAAAAAATAAAAATCCTACAGCTCGTTTCCTAATTACAAAACCAAACCAAAAAAAAGCCTTTGAGAAGTCATGTGGGAGGAAACAAGAGAAGATCCAGGAACCTCTGCTGATCATTCTGAGGGGATCGCATATGGCTTAGCTTGTTCTCATGGAGAAATGGATTTTTTCAGCTTCTCAACAGAACTGGAAAACTAGGAATTGACAGCATGGGAAGACGAATAGATGGGGAAAATATATGAATTAAAATACTAAAACCAGGTTTTTTCTTCAACAAAAACTAGATAGTTTGGGTTTATCTCACTTGAAATGATGGTTCTTGGTTCAAGCTAGTGTATTGTACTTTACTGGTAAAGCAGGCTAAGAGCCTACACTCAGCTACTGCTGCTGGCCTAAAAAGGGATAATTTGCTGAATGGTGGCAATTCACTCTTGATCATATGACTCTATATTCAAACAGGAGTGCTTAGTAGCTGTTGCCCCTCCAAAATAAAGAAATAAAAGCTGCCTGGTTCCCAGTCATAAGGTCACTCTTCCCAGAAGTAGCAATTGCAACACAGGCATTGACTGGATTGAATTTTGATTTTTGACTAAGAACTGTAATGTCTATCTTCCAGTTGTGATCTGCAGACGGATCTGTTTCAGTTTATATTTAAATAATTGTAGTTTCCAAAAGAGGCAATAGGTAAAACCTCCACAGGGGACTTACATTTAAAATTGCATATGATGAATGCCTCTTTGAAGTTGCCCTGCACTGTTGTTAGTATTTCAGATAATCACTGGTTCTTCTCTCTTTCACAACAGGGATATTCATTGCCAATGTGCCTTTGGAATACAACATCTTACTAAATGCGAGCAGTCCCACTCTACTGGTGAAGCCAGCAGGACGTGCACATTTTGCTTTTGTTGGTGACCTAGATCCCTACACCCTGTATGAGATAAGAATACAAGCATGCCAGAATGGTAAGATGTTTTTAAAAGACTCACCTCTGTGACTGGAAGGGAATGGAGATTTTCTAGATAGATTCAACTCAGCAAAACAGATAAAATCTTATTCCTACATTGGAGTCAAATGTTTACCTAGTAAAAAGAAAGCCTAGCACTGAATGAAGCATTAAATATTTCTCCATGTTATGTCATTAATATTTTAAATGGAGATTTAAAAAATGTATTTTAGGTAATATATGCCATTTTATTAAAAGCTCGTTACAAATAGCTTAACAGTTTTCGAAAATGTGCATACAGAACAAAATCAGTTCTGTAACTGTTCACCAACAAGAAGTGGTAATCATAAAGACAGGCGAGAAGAGCCCAAATATTACAAAACTCCTTGACTTTAATGGAAATTTTCAAAATCCTTTTGAAATAAGTCTTCCTAAAATGACACTTTGGAAACAATTCTTTCCTCACCTTCACTGATGAAAATCAGGAGTTGCAGTAATTTAAATTCATCAGTGGAGTTGTGGTAATTTAAACGAGTATTTAATAATGAAATGAGGTGAAATGAGGCACCATTTCATCAGGAGCTTCTTTACTTGACATTCATTTGCTTTTACTGTATTTTTTGTTGAGTAAGAAGCTCTTATCACTAACCAGACTTCTGGTTTTGTAGGTGCGTGTGGAGTGGGTGGTCAAACATATTTAAGAACTGCTGAAGCACCTCCTAGAGAATTGAGGCCACCTAACGTTAAAGCAATGGGATCTGCACTCATAGAAGTGAAATGGGCACCACCTAAGAAGCCAAATGGCATAATTACTAACTACTTTATTCACAGGTAAATGCTTTTATCACCTCAGATTCTTAGTCTTATCGAACTGTTCATTTCTTTATTCCCTGATATACTAGGAGGTGAAAAAATGTGTAGAAGTATATGGTAAAATATATGTTACCTTTCAAATGCTAAGGTAAGATTGCTGATCTATGGATGGACAAGTTAAGAATAAGAGCTGAGACAAGAATCAACTTCCTGATCTACAAAGGACAAAAAGCAGGTGAAAATATATTTTTAAAAATTCAAAGGGACAGACAAAAATTGTAAGATCGATACTCTCTGTGTGTTTACCCAGACCACTAGGTACATTCTTCAGTGCTCTCTGATAGACAATTGAGAATTTTGGAATGGAAAGAGGAGTAATTCACCATTTCTGAGATTTTCAAAAGCAAAAAAAGGTATCTAGGTTCCTAACACAGATCAATTTTCTGAGATAAATTATATTCCTGTTTATGAGTGAGTAATCTGGAGTGTGATTACAGTGCATCTGTTTATGTTTCTTCGTGTTTGTATTCAGCTGCCTTGTCTAGGTGGTTGACTGACATATCCTCGCTCCCTATGAAGAGCGTCATAAGCTCTGCGTGAGGATTTTGCTATATAGATAGCTGTGTTTAGGGAAGTATCAAAGTAGCAGAGCACTGACATCTGCTGTGCCCATTGACCCTTTTTTAAAAGCTCGCTGAAGGGACCTTCTTGAATAGCTTCAGAAAATCAGAGAATATAAAACTCATGCCATGTATTGGAGAAGAATTTAAAGTCTGAAGTTCCTGGTTTTCCCAACTCTAAATATGTGTGGCAAACACATGCTGGGCTGCACCTAGCCTCCCATGAAGAGCTTGGGACATTTTATTATATTAGAGCTGTGGCTGAGAAGACAGGGAATCGAATTACCTTTCGGAATCAGCAGTGATAATTAATATAAATTCACTTTTGCCTTAAACATATTAGTAGTCTCTAAAAATTCCTGCTCTCTTGAAATATCCTTTTGTTTGCTTTTTTTAATTGTCTGATCAAAAAACCCAAGCCCCCCCCCTGTATAAAGAGGAATAAAGGGTATGTTATAGCCCAAGACATCTCTTCACTCTGTTGGTTTTGTAAATAAAGCTGATGATTACCGCTGCTATTCTGTGGCAGCCATAGAAAGGGAAAACAGGAAATATAATGCAGAAAGCCTGCTTCAGTGAAAAATACTGTAAATTGAATTTGACAGCATTTGATGGCATTTGATTATTCTAGTCACAGCCAAACAATGATATAAAGAGTAATATGAAACAGAATGTGTTACTGCCTAGCAGACTCAAAAGCAATAAACCTTCCTCCAATGTGACACAATCACTTCACAATCATAATTGTAGCCTGTTTGATACCTCTGAGTACAGCAGAAGGGCACTGACTGACATAGATACATTTTGTTTTTTATTTAAAGTGAAATGAAAATGGCGCACTGGGGCTCCAGATACAATCGTTATATTCACCTACATAGGCATGAATCACTTGGCAGTTATTTCAGCTGAAGTTTAAATGTGCTTAGACAACAACAATATCAAATCTTTCTCAGATAGCTGCAAAAAAATCAGAAATGGGATGTAAGCACATAGTTCTTTTTCATTTTGTAGCCACACATAGCCTTACATTATTATAGCAGCAAGACTGCAGTATTTCTATGGGAGGTTATGGCATGTAATTTCTTCTTCATCATGTGCCTCTTCCTTACTGCATCACCACCAAAATAAATTCATTTAACTCAAAACCTGGAATGCTTGGGGAGCTAGTGTGTGTGCAAATTTTTGCATTAAAATGGCAGGACTCGTGCTTTCCTCTAGAATCATAAAAGCACGTGCAAGTTTGCAGCCATTTTGTTAGAAACCAAAAAATTACAATGTTAGTTTATGATAAAAGAGAGGGTGACATTTTATTTTTGATTCATATAGCAGTTTTAAACACAGATCTGAGGGTTTTAAACTTTTCTAGCAAGGACCACAACTTAGAAGAAATTGTGAATGAGAAAAGATCTGGTTCATGAGACAATCGCCCAATCTACTTCTCTTCCCATTCATCATTACATAACATCCCTGTGACAACCACAGAAATTGCTAGTCTGGAAAAATAATATTATGGAAATAGGTGATGTATTTCTTGCTGTATTTTAATAAGATATAGGCCACATCAGCTAATGGAACTGCTCTCTGTTGTCCACCAGCATGCACTGTGTAGGATGCACATGAGATGACTCTTAAAGAAATATTGCCTGTAAAATTATAAGTATTTTGGTTCGTACCTTGCTTAAAGGAGTGTCTGAATTTCTGTCAAAGTGTCTACGTCATTTTTCAGAAAGATTATATTATTTAGTATATATATGTGAGATTGTAATGTAGCTCTCATTAGCTGAGCAATCCTGATGGTGAAAATGTAACAGAAAAATCAACAGGCAATTTCAGACAGAGGACATGTCTCAGTGGCTGTTGACTGTCGTGACTTGCAGTGTATAGGTTTCTAGACTGACTCTTTATGATTAATTCATTGCTTACCCTTATACCCTTAACCATGAGCTGCACCAAAGACATCTACCAAGGCACATGTATTAGTAGATGGTTTAATGTAAGAATTCTTATGAATGGATATGCCATTGAGTATAAGAACTCCTGAAGGGTTTTATTTATACCTGTAACTGATATACCTAAACTGAGTTAGCATATTACATGCAATAATCTCAAATTCCTTTTGTTCACTTTTTGACATCAAAACTTGTAAAAAAAAAAAAGAAAAATATACAAACTACTACTTAGTATAGATTTGTTGAATCCAAACGGTAAGTGAGGCTGCTTTGTTTAATTGGATGTGAAACTGTAGAGGGGGAGCACTGTTGATGTTACATTATTCCCTCACATTTGACAGTGTGATTCCCCAATTGTTTGAATTTTACCCCAGGACTTCTTAGTGTTTCTAGAAATAACACGGCCACTCTGGAAAGTAAAACAGCAGGTACTGCTAAAACATGTATTTCTGTTGCATGGTGAAAGGTAAATGTGAAGAATAATTCTAGGTTGACCTGCAAGACCTCAGGGATTCACTGAGTCTCCTTCCACATAAGAAAGCTGAGGGGCGAGTGTTGCAGTTAGTGTTGCTGCAGTCTTCTGCTTACAGCTCTGTAGTTATCTGTCACAAAGAAGATTATATTCTTCTCTTTATGTCATCTGGCTCAGATTGGCAGTGGGGCAGGGAGAATTTGCCCTTATAAAAATAACTGTATCTGAGCATCTTTAAAATGAATGTAAGCAGCAAATCAGACTATGCAGATTAAGAGACAGCTTCCTGCTCTTGGAAATGTTATTCTCCTTTGCAGCTCATTGTACATAAGAAACACTTCCAGTTAAATGAGCAGTTGAATCTTAAATCTTAAGACGATTGAAATGATTACAGACTGTTCAACCACTTCTGTTCAAAGTTTATTCATACATGAAGATATTCTGGTTTTTAGCACTACAGATGGAACCATTTACCTAACCATAAGTTTCATTCATTAAATATTCAGCAGTAATAAGATCTAAATAGTTAACCAGACTACATTGTACAGCTTTGCTTGTGGATGAGCTTACAGTTGGTGGCATATTTGATCTTTCAGTGTGAAAAAACTGTTTATCACAGAGTTTCGAAAATTTATGAAACATAAATTTGTATTCATTTAAGTGCCATACTGCTTGGTCAGACAAGACATACTAAATGTGACTTTATTGCACTAAAATATGCTCTCTCTTCACTTATCTACAGAAATTTTATTTTTAGGCATGTTTTTGAGTACACAGGGAAAAGACTATGTTTTTAGGTGCAGGAGAAAAGCATAGTAATGATTCACCTTTCAGAATTGTGTGACTTGGATTAAGTCAGTGAACAGCATCTAAGGGAGAGTTCTGCATAAGGCTTAATTTGCCGCTACGGTAGAGTATGAGGAAGTGTATTAAAAATAGCTGTTGGAATTTTGGGGTCAATGGGAAGTTTTGTACTCCAACTCTTCCAGACATTTTGTTGCAAGAGAGAGAATTGCTAGGGAATCTTTCCGGCCTGTTCTACCTGCCATTCTTCACCCAGTTCTGCCATCCAATTCTCACTATCAACACGTCTTACAATTTGCC